GCAGGCACAGCTGTTCCAGCACTCTCTGGGTGGCTGCAGTTGGCTGTTACCTTCCTCTGGATTACCCCCCTAGTAACTTGGGGGTTATCTGCACCACACGATGGAAATACAGCACACACAGCAAAGGAGATGACCCCTCATACTCAGATTGATCTTGGGTACAATTCAAGTGGTTAAGAGGGAAATGATCATTATGGTGGAGAAGGTAAATAGATGTCTGGCACCAGAGAGCTGAAGTGGCTAGAAGTGTGTTAAAATATAAACTCATCTTACTCTCTGGAAACAAAGAGCCTGAAACCATTATAAGAACTTGGTTATTTCCACTAAATAGGGGTTGCATCTGTGTTTGTAGAGTGAAGTCCAAAAAAGCAGTGAATGGAGACTGTTGAGATTTCTAGCTGGCCTTCCTGAGCATATTTGGGGAGCAGGTTTCAGCTGCTCTTTACCCAAGGCTAGTGTCTGATCACAGAGGCTCAGTTTGATATTCCTGATGTTGCTTCTGCATCACCCTTCTGGTTTGATTTTCCTTTCATTTCTTAGGATGTTGTTTTTCTTTTCTTTCTTAGGAGGTTCCACTCTATTTATTGAAACTTCCCTGAGGCGACCCAAAGACAAGGAGAGCAAGGATGGGTCCCTTGAAGTAACAGGGCAACTGGGAGATGTAATGAAAGAGAGTGCCAAAATTGCTTACACGTTTGCAAGAGCCTTTCTGATGCAGAAGGACCCTGACAATGACTTTCTTATGTCTTCTCATATCCACTTGCATGTGCCAGAGGTAAACTGATGCAGAGTTCACAGAGCATGCACAGCAGCCAGGCTGGTTTGCTCCCCTAGACTTGAAGCTGGAAGGCTTTTCACTTGTCCACATGCTGCAGAAATGCCCTCTTTTAGCAGTAAAACCTAGGAATGAAGATGTTTTCCTCAGGTTCCCATGAAAGTCTTATTATGAGCTGTTTCCACTCCTTTCTGCAACAAGCACGTGGCAAGAATACAGGACTTGGATAATGCTCTAAGGAATCCTAAGCTTTTGTTGTGGCTTTTGGCCCTGATTGTGCAGGGTGGGAGGAAACTGTGACACAGAGATAAGTGATTTGGATAAAAGTTCATATGAAGTTACAAGGGCACCAAAGTTTAGGTCTCTGTGTTAGTGGGTCTTCATAAAGGCTTCAGGTCATTTACACATAATTGAAAATACTACTCTTGATCTCTGTGCCATGGTTCCTAGTCACTATAATGGCAGTGATTGCATTTCTTCAATATTTGGGACTGAAAATAAATGCACACAGTGGTCAGAGAGGCTCACACTGTGTAACAGGCTTTGGGCAGGTGCTTTACTGAAGACAGGTTTTGTACTGTCATTGTGCCCAAGTTTTCCTTCTGGACTATTTGCACCCTCTGTGTCTGTCCAGGTACTGTGGTATTGTCTGTGAGTTTGTTTCCTGGAGGATCAGAAAAGTGCAGACATGATCTCTGTGTCTGCTCCCTCTCTGGCATTCATTTCCTCTGTGCTTACCTCAAAGATCTGTTTGATCTTAGATAAATCCAGACTGTCACTAGTTCAGGCCTGGATTTTGTGGGGCTTTATATACTGAATGATCTCTTCTGCCTTGAATGATTTTCAGTATTGTCCTCCACTATTTTGTGACTCTTGAAGGTCTTCCCTTGTGCTGTTGACTTCTGTTTCTTGTTTCCATAGTTGGCTTAGGTCTAACAAAGAACTTCAGAGTGTTTGTGCCCTTTTGTTCACTCATGTTGCTTATTCAAAGTCCTGAGTCCAAAAAGTATGGTGGTGGCATCAGGCCAGAAACCAAATTGTGGACTCATGGATCATTCCTCATGAATAAGGTGAGGAATGCCACAGTTGTTAACAGATCAGCCAGTTGAGATAACAGGATTCCATCAGTGACACGTGTTCAAAAACCTCTGTGAGACCCTGTAAAATTGGGGCAATGCTAAAACAGCAAGGACAAAGGTGCTGTCTGGCTTTGCTGCTCCTTAACTGCTCCAGGAGTGTTGCACTTTGTTTTTTTTCAAACAGGGAGCGACCCCGAAGGACGGACCAAGCGCAGGGTGTACCATAGTGACAGCTCTGCTGTCGCTGGCCATGAATTGCCCAGTGAGGCAGAACGTAGCCATGACTGGAGAGGTGTCACTGACTGGAAAAATTCTGCCTGTTGGTGGAATCAAGGAGAAGACTATTGCGGTAAGAGCTCTTCTCTTGTGTCTGTGCCTCGGCCAGGAGAGAGCCCTGGGCTGGGCTCAGCAGGGACTGGGACAGCCAGAGGGGTTGCTCCTTGCAGTGGGACAGGCACTGATTCCATCCACAGGGTGGAGAATCCTGCAGGGGAACATGGGGATCTTGGCTGTAAGGAAAGGGATGGGACCCCAGGCTTTGTGCCAGGGCAGGTGTGTTGGCCTAGTTCAATTCCACCTAACCTGGCAGAATTGAAGGTAACAGCCTTACCTGACTGTGAGAGCTGTCTGCTCTGTCACAGACTGGCACAGTTCAATCATCTCTGCTGGTTGAAGTGCCTGTTTAAGGAGGGCATCCAGTGGAGATCTGACAGAATTCATAAGGTACATCCTTAACATCCAGGCTCTGTTCCAGCATGAATTTGTCTGACTTAACATTTCATACAGATGTCTGTTTTAGGAAAAAAGGAGCTTAGTGTCTTGTATTTTTGGTTTCAACCTATTGCAGTTTTCAGAATTCCTTTCCAAGCATTGAATCCCTCTCCCTACTTTTCCTCTGCACAACTCCAGCCTACATAAGCCTTGCACCACACACATTTTTCTGTATTTAGGAGCATTAGCTCTTCCTCTGTTGAGCTGGGGCTCCACGTCAGTGTTCTGTCCCCACACCTGTTAGGGCTGCAGCCTTGTGCAGTGTGATTTCTTTTCCTCACATGACTTGAAAATGGGTAGTTGTTTGTTTGCCTGTGCTCACAGTGTCTTGTGGCACTGACTGGCTGCACTTGCAGGAGTGTGAGGGGTCACAGGGCTAAATGCAGGATCACCCATAAAAGTGATGGGTACAAACCTGCCCCAGGAGGAGCAGCTTTGCATTCCATGCTCCTTCCAGGGCAGCTGTCCCTATGAAAAGGCTCTCTAGAATGTTGCTAAGGGTATGGATGGGGTAGGTTGGTCTGATAACCTGTTTCTAACTCTTGCTTTCGTCCTAAGCTTCATCCTCACCCAAGCTGGAACAGACACTTAAAACTAAAATAGTATGAATGGTTCTAAAGAATCCTCTAGTGGGCTCACATAATCCTCCTAAAATGTGCCCCCCTCCATCTGTCCCTGCAGCTGAGGTGGCACAGGAGTGTGTGTTTTGGGCCTTGAGGGGAGATCTAGAACATGCTCCACCCTGGTGACATCTTGTCAGGAATGCCCTTGGTGCTCTCCAAAGAACAGAGTAAAGCTGGATCATGGTTCTAATAACTGCTCTTGGTTCAGAAATAGGGAAGGGTGTTTCTGGCAGATGGAGGGATTCCTAGGACTCAACAGACTGCCCTACTTTGTTCTCCCCACAGGCGAAGAGGGCGGGTGTTACCTGCATCATTCTGCCGTCAGAGAACAAAAAGGATTATTACGACCTTGCTGGATTCATTACAGAGGGACTGGAAGTGCATTTTGTGGAACACTACAAGGAGGTATTTGATATAGCGTTTTCACAGCTGGATCTGGCCGGGGGATGACAACAGCCCGTGCCCCATGGCTGGAAGGTGGTCAGGTCAGTCCCTCCCGCTCGGCCTCCGCCCAGGGATGGTGAGGGGGCAGTCCTGGAGGGGACATGGAGCTCTTGCTGCTGCGCAGCTGCTGAAATGAATGATGGCTCTGCTGGAATAAAGGATTTCTCACTCTTTAATACTGAATTATGATCCACAATAAAGCATTTCTGATTTTACCCAAGGAACGGGCTGTTATCAGCCACCAGCAGCAGGGCTGGTCTGGTCTCTTGTCATTGAAGATGTTTCAGTTATTTTACTGTAAATCTCAATACAGCTTGTGGGAAAACACGGAACACTACACCCAGAGCTGGGCTGATGTGCAGCTTTTGTTCCTGGTGTGGTGGAAGGCAAGTAGCTCTCAGAAATCTGTCTTGGCTTAGAAGCCTGTGCTAGGCTGAGGGGACACTGAAATCCTAGGACAGTTCAGCAGAGCTGGTACATTCAGCTGCTGAAGGAACGTGGTTCTCCAAGGTCAGTCACAGCTCAGAGCACCACAAAGAACTCCAGGCTTAAGGAGAGCAGATCTAGGCTGAAGAGCAGTGTCAGCAGTCAGCACTGTGCTGCACCATAGATGGCCTGTGCCTCTGCAACAGTTCTCTCATTTTCACAGAGAGAGTGTTGTGACATGACTGTTTTATGTCAGTAAGCACAGGCTTGGGGGCCAGAGAACTCAAATACTTCCATCTTACAAGGAATGCTAAGAAAAAGGAATTTAAAGAGGGGAGGAGTAGTTACATGAAGTCTAGTTGAAAAGTATTTCCTTGGGCAGGAAGAAGTCGTCATCATTTCACAGCAAGGGAGCCCAGAAAAAGAGTCCACCTGCTGAAGTCCAGAGAGTTCTTGCTGACTCCAGGTCTCTCTCATGACTTGTTAACACAGTGCACAAGGCAGGGGTGAACAGAGAGTACAAGGGGAAACAGGAGCACAAAAAGGTGCACAGGGAACAGACTGATGTGCCCTGAGGAAGGGAGTGCAAAGTAGTTACTATTTTCAACAGCAGTTTTTGCCCCCTGACTTCCCTCCTACCACCATTTAGGTCTGGAGACAGACTGGGAGGTGAGAGAAGGTATTTAGCTATTGCAGAGACTTCTGTGCCCTGAGACTCCACATGGTCTGGAGGATTCCCCTCTAGAATAAGTCACAGCACACCAGTATCAGCAGCTGCAGGTAAAATAAACCAGTGATGCAAGTTCTGGATGGCTGCAGCTCAGGGCCTTGTCAGCATCCCCAGCAGCACCCGCTGAAGCACATGTACCACCAACACTACCCTGGTTTTGGGAGAAAGGACTTTATTGTGTTACAGCCTGTACAACTCAATCCTTCTTTGCAGCAGCTTTTCTCATGGCTGCCAGGACATTACTGAGTTCCTCCCGCTTCCTCTTGGCCCGGATGTGAGTGCCAACCTGTGGGGAGAAAGGGCAGTCAGTGTTCACCCAGCACAGCCTGGGGCTGCTGCAGGTGTCACTGCAGACACTACTCAAAACCAGGCAGAATGGTAAAGTCCTGAAAACCTCCAGCCAGGGGGCTGCCATCACGTCTGAGTGGTACTTCCACAGAGTGATTTGGAGTGAGGAAGAAGCTGCTTTCAGCTCTCACTGTTGCCCTCAAGGAATCCCATCTGAAGTCTCCTGGTTAATGGTACCCAGTGCTGCTCTCCTCCCACCAGACATGCAAACCATGTAAAAACAGCATGGCCAACCTGGATCCCAAGCTTGGGGCCTTTCTGGCTAGGTACCTTTGTGTCCATCTCCTGCTCTCCCACCCAAGCCAAGGACCATCCCCTTCACTCCTTCAGATTACACCAGTAACTTCCCAAACAACGGAAAAAATAACTGAGAAGCCAAGTATACCAAAGCAAGGGCAGAAAAACAGAAAGCTGACACAGCAGTTTTTGCCATCCTCGTTAGGAGGATGGACTGACCTACCCGCTTCTTGATGAACTTGAGAGCACGTTTGTCCTTGGACACTTTCAGCAGCTCCATCGCGCGGCGCTCGTAGGGCGCGAAGCCACAGACTTCCCTGATCATGTCCCGCACAAACTTGGTGTGTTTGGTCAGGCGCTGTGGGGAGGGAGGAGATACGTGGATCACAAGGAATGTATGTGCTGGTTTACCCTGGCAGGACTGCAGAGGGCTGAGACAAACTCTGGGCTCGGGCCCCAAAACCAGCCCCTGCTGCTGGATGTCCCAGGGGAGCTGATCCCTGGCAGGTACCGCGGAGCGTGTGAGCTTGGCCAGGTGTGCTGGTCTGTCCTCACTCCAGCCCCGAGACGGGGGTTTCACACACTGGCAGCACCACCGTTTTTGGAAAAAGCGGGGTCGTGAGATCCCGAGGGTTTCCACTGCTACACACCTCGGACACCACAGCTACAGCCAGCACGGAATCAGAGCGTATGAAAGGCACAGATGCGTTAATGCCTCATAGCAACCCACGCACTCAGCGAACCTGGACAGCTCCGAGTCGTCATTACAGGGCAGTATTGCGGGGGTCGCCTGTTGTCGTTACCAACAGAAACAGAGTGGGAGAGACTCTAGAAGCCCCTGAGCCTCCACTGCTCCCCGGCCCTCCCGGCCAAGCCCTGCCC